TAGGGACGGTTTAGCAGTTATCATTAAGGAACTAGGTCATTTATCGAAGGCAACATCAAAAGGGTCATCAAGGGACTACGATCTTTATTTTTGAGGGTCTGTGCTAAAGCACCCCCGCGTTCGAGGGACATGACTGTTTTTCCGAGGCAGCAATGGAGGTTATCCTATAGGTGCGAGTGTGCAAGGTGTGTTGTGATTCGGTTATTGCTTATCTTGCATTAGGGTTAGCTATTGTTTCATTTTCATCTTGCCATACATGACCTAATTACTAACAGTAACAGTAAAAAATAGGAAAGCGATAAATGTGCGGAAAGTAAAAGCAGAAAATAAAACCCTAGACTATTACATGGCTTTGGGAGAAGTACAAAAATAATAACAGTGCGGGAAAGTAAACCTAATTAGTATTACAAACTGTGAGCAGTTACAATAATAATTAAAAGAAAATAAAATGCGAGAATAGTAAACCCCGCGAAATGTAAAAATAGGAAAGAGGGAAAGCGGACGTATTTTTGGTGATTTTTTTTATAAAAGAAAGTTTTAATTATTAACCTAAAAAATCTAGTTAATTTTAATTAAAATATAATTTATTAATTAAATAAAAAAACTAAACCCTAATTTTGATTAGGGTTTGTGAAAAAGGTTTTGAAAAAATTAAATTTAAAGAAAGATTTTTTGGTTTGGTAAATTTAGGGCTTGTAAGGTAATAGTGATAAGAAAACAAAGTTTTAAAAAATATTTACCAGGGCTGGGTGTTGAACCCACGCCCTTAGCACTTTCACCCAACGCGTTCACCACTAGGCCAGGCGCACGCCTGTGTCAAGGAATACAAGCCAGCGCGTTTTGTTTTATCCTGCAAAACATAAAATTATGAAGAAAAAACTCAAAGTGCCAAAAGCAAGGATCGAACTCGTTCCCTTGCATAGTAAAGCCTTTAGCGTGCGCGTTTAACCACTGTGGTGGTAATACATCTGTTGTTTTAAATCAAACAAAATATATATAATATGAAAACACTGCCTGAACAAGAGAGGCGGCGGAGCCCTAGCTTCGGTCGTCTTCTTCGATAGCCTCCTTTTATGTTCCTGCGAAACAAGCGAATATTAGCAATCCAGGGGGACCCTATCCCCCTAAATCAGGGTCTGCGGATTCAACGGGACTATCATCTTGGCCTGAATCGCAAGGTTTTATGAGCTACAAAGGAAATTACATGGATCGGTGCTAACATGGCTTTGCACTATCCATCCATTATGGGACACTCATAATAGGTCATTCCTGCATTGTTGGACCTCAGGAACATGTTAAATGAGTTAGTACATATTGAAACGTAAGGAAAACAGATATGTGAAATTCATGTAAGGTCAAAACCGATGTGGCATGTATGTATATTTTTACACCCTTTTGATCATGGAAATTGATCCATTCTTACCCTCTTGCGACCGTGGAAGTGAATGGACTGGTTATGAAGCCTTGAAATTGGCTGCAAGCTAGGGTTACAAGTTATCCTTGTTTTAATAAAAAAAATTATTTTTGGATGGCTTTTGCACAAGGTTTTTCGTGGCCTTTTGATGTCTGAATACATGCAATATATATAAGAGAATTTAGGTCAAAAATTTCATGGGCTTGGACTCTTGTAATAAGCCTTTATTTTATTTTGTTTTATTTTGTTTTATTTTGACTTTTAAATAAATAAAAATAAAAAATAATTAAAATAAATCAAAAGGGGGTGCATGAACAAGTCTTGAGGTGCATATGGAGCATAGAACACTCTTGATCTTTGAATCAATAGCCCAATAGTCTAAAATTTCAATTTTGGTCATTTTGAACGTCATGCATTGGCTTTTTGGAAAGTTTCCTTCAAAATGAGCTTTGGTTGAGGAAAATTTGATGAAGCATGTGAAAGTTATGTTTGGTCAAAGTTCAGTTGACTTCTCCTAAAAGAATACCTTAATTTGGCAACTCTTAAATTTTGATGATTTGAGAGTTTTTCTTGATGAATCATGATCAACCCTTGATCAAGTGATGAATATGACTTCAAAATCTTGATGTTGGCCAAAAATCTTCAGGTTTGACTATATGTTGACCACAGTTGACTTTTTGTTCAATATAGTTGATTTTCAGTCATCTGAGCCATTGACCGGGCAAACTTCTGACGCAAAGCATGAAATTTAGTATGAGCATTCTAAGAGACATATGAGAGATCATGAAATCCACTTGAGATCTTAAAAACCCAATCTTCCTTGAGAAAATTGAAGCCCTAGTTGTGAACTCATTGCTTAGGAGGAGAATGTGTCTGATCAATTCTTGAGCAACCTTGAGCCTTTGAGAACCCTAGGAGAATGTCTTGAATAAAAGAGAGGGAAAATTTTGGGGTACAACAGATGGGATAAACTTGTCTTTCCAGCTTAATGGTGTGTTAAGTGTTTGACGTTCTATCGAGAGGATAGTCGTTCACCATTTCAGGTGAACCTAATGGAAAAGTGACTAAGAAAGAGTTGGAACTTATGGAACAGTTCGGAGACTTGAGGTCGTATATGAGCTAATGTTGCCTCCACGTGGGTAACGCACAGATTCTCAAGAGTAGCTCGTAGAAGCATTGGAGATAGCTTTGTAGTTATTTATTTAGTTTTCTGTTGAATAAAAAGGTTCTTGCTCTGATATGTAACATCGGGGTTTTGGGAAACGTTTGACTTGAACCTTATGTTCCTTTATTGACATGATGTATAAGTTGTTTTCAATTGTTTAAGTTGTTTTGAATCACGACTTATGAATGATGAAGTGTGATGAATTTCTTTGAAAGTTTATCTTGAAACCATGTTGAAATAATGATTCTGCTGCGACGTTTTGAAGTTATGAGTTGATGTTATTAAAGACATAATTGTTTTAATTTTTGAAAACCCGTGTTACGGAGCAGGATGTAAAAAGATATTTTTATGAAGCATGTGACACTCTCGTTGGTGCTTTACTATAATTTATTTATTAAAATTATTCATTGGGTTTAGAAGGGTGTTACAGAAGGTTCCGGAAATTTTGAAATTTCCATAATTTTTCAAAAATTTGTACTATCGCAAGTTTTGAAATTTTAGTGAAATTCTCCCGAAATTCTGAAATTTCCATAAAATTTTCCCGGAAATTCTGAAGTTTCCATAAAATTCTTCTGAAAATTCTGAATTTTTCGTGATTTTCTCCTAGAAATTCCCACTTTTCCTTTATTCTACTTACTTTTATGAAGAATTTCTATTATGAAGGTGAAGTTTCCGATATCGCCTTGGAGTTTTGAAATTTTCGCTTTGTTACTGTGAATTTGGGAAAAATGGTAAAAACTTTGAGTAAAGTTATTATGATTTTTTCATTCATTTTGGAGAGTATCAGATACAACTTAAGGGATAGTAAGTTAAATGCTCAAAACTGAATAAGCAAGATATTACGTTATCTCTCAATAGTTTATAAATGTCATACTAAAAAAGAGAGGAATGGGAAAATAAAAGAGATTAATAGTGTTTGAATAAGACAAAGCTCATCTCATCCTTGCAATGTGAGGCACTCTTAAAATTCTAAAAATACCCTTGAATAAATTCAGAGATAAATATTCGAACGCACCCTTCATAAAATAAACATCAAATTGGTTCAGATATGCATCTCCAAATTCACCCTGGGTTCATTCGAAGATGCATAAAAACACCCCTGAACCAATTTACTACGCATTTTCATTGAAATTGATACAGTTGTCAGAAACTCTGTCGATTTTTATCAATATTAGAGTCATAGGAATTTGTATCCTCGCGTTCTGGCCCTTGCGTTCTTGTGTTTCTGACTTTTACACGATCTAACGTAAAAAACTCATTTTTTTTGAAAAATCGACTCTAAATTAAAATTTTACCATGCTAATTCATCAAAAAAATCAGAGATCAATAGCACCCTAAAACCCCTAAATTTCTTTTTTTTTTCTATTTTATTTAATTTATTTTCCGTTTTAATATTTTCGGAAAAAAAATTATAAATATTTAATTTGATTTTTAGTTGTATTTTCATATTTATATAATTTTATTTTATCATTTTTCAATTTTCCAATTATTTTTCTCAATAGAAAAATTATTGATATTTACATATTTGTTGCATTGCTAAAACATGGTTATTAGGTGTATCAATCCAGATACATTCAATACTAAATTTTTAAAAAATACAACATTGAATTTTTCAAATAAGCATATCCGAATTCACTATTTTTCATAAAAAAAACAAAATTTATTTAAAAATGCATATTCGGAAGAAAAAAAATTGGTAAAAAAAATATATTATTCGACCATAGATCTCCGAAATTAAGTATTTTATAGAAAAATAGAATATTCAAAGATGCGATATCCAAAAACATGACACATTAGAATTTTGCGCAATGTCGAGAGAATGTATAATGTGCAATGAATTACCTTGAATAACACCACGAAAAGTTCTATTATATAAATTACACAACTAAGAGTATTAACTACAAAATAAATCTGTAATGTTTTATTCTGAGAAACTAATTTTCCACCATAAAAAAATTGTTATTTTTTAACCGTAAAAGAATTATTAATTTTTCACTTTCCAAACATTTGTTTCGTATGCTATATATCTCCATTCATGTATGCTTTTTTTATCGCATTGTTCATGAGTTCAGATCAGGTATTTGCGTGTTCTTGTTGGTTAGATATGATTCTTTTAAATATATTTGTTTTGACAACCAGTCATGCCAATATACAATAGGAAACTAGGAAAGCAACAAATCAACTAAGATTTCTAAAGTTTTTATTCGATAAAATATCAACCGATAAAATTCTCTGGCTGCAAATGCCCAGGCATAATTAGATATGGGCAGTGTGTAAACATTCAGATTCAGATTCTGAGTGAAGCAATCTTTGATTTGAAGGTATCCCAGGTCTGTGCTAGCCATTGTAATCCTTTTATACAATATCCGTACAATGCCTCTGGTTAGAGACTATTAGCTGACATTCCAAGTTTCCAACAAGTTATTTAATGGAATGTTCTTGTTCAAATCCAATGTAACAGTCAGAGACTAGAAACACTTTTACATCCTGCAACACAGTAAAACATTACTTAAAGCCAAAATGTAAGAGTGAAACCCTTTAGATTGAGAGGCAAGTCATTTTTACCTGAAGATTAGCTGTAGTTGGAGGCAACTTCATCGATGTAACTAAGTGATCCGAAAAAGAAACTCTTTTCAGTGCATATAGCTCAGAAGTTGATGTATTACCAAGAACCAGCCACCATTGCTCCTCTTTTATCTGTAGCCACAAAAATTGTAAATTACTCAAGATCACATGACAGACTCTACATATCACAACAAAGATGAATATGAATATGTATTTGAAAGAGACCTTTGGAAATCGAGGAACAAATGCTCTAGATGAATGTCGTCTAGAGTTGAGCTTTTCTAATCTGATGTTTATTATGTGGCTCTTCTCACCGTCAGTTTCCCTTTCCTGAAGCTTTAATTTCATTTTAACATTAGGGAAGTGTTGTAGATCCTGGTCAAAGAAAAAAAAACAAACATGTATAAACTGAAAGATGAGATATGCCTGCTAGATAAATAAATAAATAAAAGCGTATTTACAATATCCTCAAAAAGAAGCATGTGTTCATTCTTTTTTTCAGTCATGTTTCCCAATTCCCTCTCCAAAAGAAGAAGAAAATTGACCTAAGTATATAACAGGAATCTAAACAAGCATTAAAAATAAATTATGAGGAATTTTGACCTGGTACAATTTTGAAGCCGGAAAATTTTCAGTTACTGTCTGCAATGCTGCCCTGGGAATATCTAGCAATTCCTGTATACTATAGATTCCTCTTTTGCTTAGTGATGTTACAAGATCGCCATTCATGCATGGTAGCATCCACAACGAAGAGTCCTTGTCAAACCACAAACCCTAAAACCAGGACTCAAGATTTAAGGAGTGAACTTTACAAAATATACTGGATAATTATGTGTGAATTTAAAAGTACTCCGTAGGCTTTTCATTAACTAGACAAATTTTTAAGATTTGGAGATCACACCCTACGAAGCACGGACATCTCTAGGAGTATGTGTCGTGTTCTGTTGTCCGCGTCGGAGTCCATGCTTCATAGATCACACACCCCATAGGTTTCAGGGGATAGTGAAATAATTTGTGCTTCAAAAAATTTAGAACATCTGAAATGAACGTGTAATCTATAATATTTAGTGTTGTAAAAACACCACATTTAGTGCATGTCTGGAGTCCATAGTAGAGATTATTTTGCTTTCAGAAAACCTTATAATCAAAAAAATTAAGAAACATTTTTTGTCTGAACTGATTTTTTTTACCATGTAAGATAATGAGAACTAACTTGAATTTAGCTAGTTGTATTCAAACTATCCAACAGCCCAGAAAAGTCAGATGAAGAACAAAATGATTACCTGCATTACCATTTGCAGAAGATGCATGCAAGTAATAGAGCTCGAAAGCCAACCACTATTTGCACATATATCAATCATGGCCTGGATTATTCGTATACTCTGATCTAATACTGATTTCAAATCTGTGACATAGTCACTAATTGGTAATTCCAATTGGGAAAAATGACACTGCATTCAGAATAAATTTATGATCACAAATATAAACAAAAGAAACAAAGAAAATTTGAAAGAGGCAATCTGGTGCTATTTAAAGAAATAAAATAGAAATCTTACTATGCTAAAACTAGCGGTTAAAATGACTGACCTGGAAAAGAAGATTTGCTTTGGTATGGGGATCTTCTAAAAGATTCTTATCAACGGCATATCTAACTTTTTCAGAGAGTGCTTCATTGAATTTTTCCTATGTAAAAAGGACAAAATACTGTCAATGACTAATGGAACATAACGTGACTTGAAGAAAGAAAAAGTAATTGATAATCCTTGAAAACTTGCACAAAAAGAACTGACATTCAGGAATATTAAGTAAAACAGTTACCTCATTGTGACGCACAGGAAGTTCATCAAATTCGGCAGCGGCAGATAAGACATGCAGAAAGACCTACATCCAAAAAGAAACTCTTGAGGATAGTGATTTTGAATAATTAAAAGAAACTATCTTTCAAACAAAGATGGAAAAACCATAGGAGAAATGGAAGATTATAAGCCTTACTTCAAGTGACGTATCCGGACCGATGTTTGAACCAAACATTGATACACTCATGTAGCTGAGGTAATACTGAGATGCTACTGACCCCAACATCACCGACTCCACCGCATCTTCATTCATCTTTATGCATCCACTGTCTTCCAAATCCTCAAATGTGCTTTGTACTAGGCTGCCAAAAGAAATGTGTCAGTCCGAATATCATTGCTATAAACATGGGGCTATGGTATTTCATGTCATTACCTAGACAAAAACGAACTTATAAATTCAGGTTCTACATTCTCCAATCCGTAGTATGCAGGATTGACCATCTGTCAAAAAATAGTTATTATTAATAATAACAAAGGGTAAATCTACAAATATAAATCATTCTTTTTTCAACATTCAAATCCCTTTGGATTGTATGTTAATCATTAGATTATCTCTTAGAATTAGATTCCACAAAACTTTATCTTCATCATTTGAATCTTTAACTAAAATTAGGAGTAATTATCATGAGTTGTGAAGCATCAAAACAAACTCACCAGTCTACGGAATAAGTAAGTCCATGTCAGGTAATGCACTGCATCTTGTTTATTATGGATTGTACCGGAAACTATTTCGGCATTTAAGTGGTCGTGCAGACGCTCCCGCAAACTACTCTCAACGGGAAAGGGTTCATACAAGAACTGCAACATAAAAGAGAAAACAGTACTGTTCTCAGCACAGTAGGTATAAAATTTTAGTATAATTAACTTTTCCAATTTTCACCTTTTTGTAGAAACTTTTCTTGGGTTCATGAACAAGTATCACTGCCTTCCCGTGCTGATCAAATTGAGGACGTCCAGCACGGCCCATCATTTGCAAGATATCAGTGATTGGAAAATCAACGTACCTCTTTGATTTTCCATCAAAGAATTCTGTCCCCTGAAAAATAACCAAGTCATTGTTAAAATTGAAATTCTGACACAGCAGACTCAGATGTCCTATAAGGATGTCAAGATATCTTCTTCGACATGTTGTTCTAGTTGTTGAAAAAGTTCAATACAACATGTTCTGACATTGTAATAAGACTTCTTGTTGTACCTGTTCTTCTTAGCAAGTTTATACATCCTATTCTACATTACATTATTGTTGTTATTATTTGTTTTACAAAAATTAAGTCAATCCTAAAATAAGAGAACTAACACTCTCCCCCTTTGGCAAATTTTGACTAAAACAAATAATCTAAAAACAATTGCAATGAGAAGATATCTAAAAACAATTACAATCTAGGGGATTTCAGCATTTCAAAAGCTACTGCACACAACAATAGATCTTCAGTTGAAAATAATGTCTCAACATCTTGTTAGACATCTCCTTTGCAGCACTCTGAAGAACTCAATTGCATCAGCACCAACGAACATCAGTTTCAGGATAAAAGGAGGGAAAGTCCTGAAGTTTGGTTGATGCACACGAGGAAGAAGATAGCAGAAGACAACTTGTACTCCCCCTCAATGCAGGAACATCTTCTAAACATAGAAGACCAATGGTGGAATAAGAGAACTTTCAACAACTCCTTAAGACCAAATCAACCATCGCCCCTGATAACTCAGAACACAGGTACAACTGTGTTCATAACTCAGATCACATGTCACAAACATATGTCACAGAAATAATAACTACTTGACATCTTATTTTGACATCTGTGGACATTAATAATGACCACTTGTGGAAGCAGCAGCATCCAAGCTAATTCACCTTTTATCTCCCCTTTTTTAGCCAAAACTTGGCAAAGAAGACCTTCACAATACCAGACCCAAGCACAGCTTACCCAAACCCGAACAAAAGCCATAAAAATTATGGACTCAAGGAGCTCATGGGGTTACAAGGATACGGAGAACTCTCTATAAATAACTGAAATTTTTACTTGGAAAATAACGATCCTAGATTGTAGCACCAATCTTGGTCAAAAGAAACGACATTTGAGGAGAAAATTTCAAGTATCAATGTGCACCGTCCATAATGGCTTTGAATGCTATAGCTACTTCCTGTACACACACATGCATAGTCAGACAAATTTTTCTCCCCCTGTTTACAACCGCGTGTTTGAACACATAGGCCACTTCATCCTATGCTAACCATGCAGGAACATGTCCTGTATAATGTCCTGACATTTAGTCAGACATTGTCTTCTTATTTCAGTGATCAACACATCAGCTCCCACCAATCAGGGATGCTTCACAAGATTATCCACATGTTCATACTGGATTCTAAGTGTTCTTCTTTCACTTAGACTTAGTGACATACTGAGATATCAAAATATCACACTTGTGACACCTCTTCGTAATATAGACCCTCAAGGAGTCTTTTTGAAATCTATAGAGAAATAAATTCTCCCAGACTCCCCATTAAACTTCTAAGAGATATGTGAACTTCTAATCTTCACTAAGCTTCTCTTAGTTAGAAACAACCATGTCTTGTTAAGTTTATCCATAACTTCATAATGTCACAACATGTTGTTTCGACATCATTTCCTCATAGAACCTTTACAAAAGTGAACAGTATTCTGGCTTGATAATACCTGTACCATTGCAACAACAATTTACAGATATCCACATGACTCCTTTTGTCATGAGTAACTAATGCTCCAGCTGAAGATGAATACTAGATGAGATACTTCAGCACTTCCTGCATATGCTGAACCTTGACTCCCTCAGTAAAGTCAAACCAGAGTCAGATATTCTCACTCCTTGAGAATACTTCCAGGAACTCTGACTTCTTCACAACACAGGGATACATATGATCATTGTCTTATTATAACCACACTTTGTATCATGACCTTTTGAATAGGCAAGATGTCATGCATACTAGGTGTGAAGTCACTCACAAACTCCAAAAAAATTTAGTTTGCTTAAAAGCTTTACAAATATCCAGATCACCAAACCTTTTCTGGAGTGACTTGCAGCAAAAATACCACTTCAAGATGCTCTGCTCAGACCTCAGTATCTGTCAGCAGCCTTCTGCCTTTGTATCCACTGATAGTTGCTGATACTAGTGGAGTCTTCAACAAGGTAGTAATGCATTCATCAAGCATGCTACACAGTCAGAAATGTCACTTCTCACAATAATGCTTAAGCATCCATCTTCACATGAACAATCCCAAGCATTAAACAAAACAGCCATCAATCAATCATGATGTTAAGACATCATGTGGTACATCAAATCCATAGAACCTAATCAAACTGGTTCTTGATCAATCATTTAAAGGACTCATTGTGCATAGAAATCCTTTAAGAAGCTCCCATTAGAACACACAGCCGGTGCGCAGGTTCCTGCATGCTTTGGTTTGCAGTAATGGCTTTGCACACCTGATTAACAGTCACTTCCAACTTACAGTAATCATCTTCATACTTGCCCAGATAACTATTGATGCCAGCAAGGGAAAATTCAACACAAACACCTTCCTATATTCCTTACTTTTGTCATCAGCACAAGCCAGCAAAAGGAATCAGCTCCATAATTTCTTTGCACTCTAGTGCACCTGCTCCCAATTCTCTTTCAAGGACAATTCTTCTTTGAGACACATATTTCCATTTTTCAGCATTGCCAATAGAATGGAAGGAAGTGTTGTCAAGAGGAACATCAGGCACCCTGATTGAAAGCTTCTTGCTTGCAGACTTCTTCAAAGGAGAGATGTCCTGGACATCATCCTCGACATCATAACCAGAGTCAACATCTAACAACCAGCAGAATAGTCTTCTTTATCCCATTCACTACTGCAGAGAAAAATAATTCTCGCAGAACCAGCACATCCTCTTGGAGAAGGGTGGTATACTCTAGCAACATCTGGCTAGAGTCTTCAGAGACTCATAGGGACATAAACAACTACATCTAGTAGCAACATGTCTCAGCATGTTATCCAACATCATCCTCATTGTAGGGCAATAACTCTATATGCTTGAACATCACAAGCTCCAAACAAACCAATTAGTCCACTGACTCCTCCTGTCATGGACAATCAAAACTTCATTATGGAGAAAACACAACACTAAACACCCACTAGTTCACTGGGAATAACTCCAAGTGCCCTGAACTAGTCACATAACAAGCACACCTCTGATTTATGCCCTTGCACCTTCACACATATTATCATGACTCTTTGGATGGCTAAGATGTCATGCAACCATAGGCTGAAACCAACTTCAAACCGTTTCTTAGTGTTTAAAAGCTTTACTAAGATTCAGACTCTCCAATAGAAGGAGTACCCCTTAACCAATGTGCTGATTAAATCCTCCTTCTAGTATTTGCTGATGCTAGTAAATTCTTCAAATTAGTATAGTAGTTATACATTACTTGAGCATACTTCTCCTTCAATCAGAATCTTCTTATTCAACACCATAGATATAATTGCCACTAATGAGTGTGGAGTTTGAATATTGAGATTCATAGTTTCAAGTATCTTTAATAGACTATCATAAAAATGATGTTCCAACATCATTTAAGACATCAACAACATTACCACAGAGCTTATCTGTTTTGGTTCTAGAATCATCATCCAAGGGACTTATTTTCCATTTATGCCCTTTAACAAACTCCCCATTCTCACAAGAGGATCTCACATGGACTCATCTTCAGATTAACCACACAACAGAAATATTCTCTCACTATATTCTGTAGTAAGTTTCTCACACTAGGTAAAACTGACAGCTTTCTTCTTCACACCTGTGATACTTGTTGAATCTTCGACAAGACATTCAATCATGGCAGCCAAAACTTTCCAGGTTAGGTCAGTGAGTTGACCTTAAGCTCAACCCTTGGAGAAAGCAGAGTATACTAACTTCTCCTGACTAGAACCACATAGACCCAACATGGGCATAGACAGCTACACCTAGTAGCCACAGGTCACAACATGTTGCATATAATCTTCACAAGCGCAAGCTTCATAACTACTACAGCAATAACCATAGATAGGTTCTAAGCTCCCCCTATCATGGACAAACAAGGCTTCTGTTGAGGATGAATACTTGGACCCCAGAAGATAAACAAGAGACTTTACGCACTCACTGAAACATATTCACACTCTTGTGAAAATAACTCATCCTGAATTTGATATACCAACTCCAAGTCTTCAGATTTTTACAAGGTCATGTCTGATACATGGCCTTACACAACACAAATATCCATACCTCTTTGGATAGCCAAGATATCGTGAACACATACTTGGACAAACACAAGCCCTCAAATAGCTTGTTTTAAGCACACCAGGCTGACATACTTGCAACAGAGGAAAACCACCTTCTTCATATTCCTTTGCTCTATCGATCACTAGCAATTGTTGATACTAGTGAAGTCTTCAACATAGTAGTTATGTAGTCACCAAGCATACTACTAAAGACAGGATCAGGATCTGCATCTTCTAATCCACAAAGTAGAAACTCCTTCTTTTGACAACCATGTTGATCATCAATCTTCCATAATCATAATCCCAAACCTTCCTTTATAAAATGATGTTACAACATCATTTAGGACATCAACTTTTGTTCACAGATCCTAATAATTCAGTTCTTGATTTTTCAACCAAGGAGATTATTAATCTTGATAGTAATTTTTGGAGAAGATCGCAGAAGATTACATCTACAGCCACTTGAACACTATAAACTCTCAACAATATCTGAATCATCAGTTCAGATAGTAGATTTGCATCCATACCTCAGATAAGTACTCAGCTCCCGACAAGGTCTTTATCATCAGTAACATGCATATCTTCACAAGATCAGACTTATACTTAGCTCCTGACAAGATATTTGTCATCAGAGGAAAAACTTACCCACACACACGAGTGCAGATGATATTCCTTTTCAACAGATGTTAGAGCACTTGAACTGACATCCTTCTTATTCATTGTTCAACACAAGAGGATCATTTCAACATTCTAGACTTGGTCAGAGACTAGTCTTCAGCTCCATCATGATCAAACATTTCAACTTTAAACTTCACTGGTGAACAATACTCACCTCGTGATCTACACAACAACTTCCTTTTTAGAGGAAGCACACACCTTGAAATGTTGTCCTGACATCAGATACGACATCATTCATTCTTATTATGGTTCTGGGGGTAACTTCCATAGTAACTTATAATCAACTCTTGTGGGGGTTAACACAAGGCAACAAACCAACAACAGCTGATCAATCGTCAGGATCAGACTACCAGCATATGCAGGGAATTACACGAGTCACGTCTCAATAAGCTTTTCTTTAGACCTCATGTCTGACTTTGAGATGGTGGATGCCATTGTCTGTACCTACAGAGAAAATTCCCTCTATTAGGTCTCTGGAGCAGACTCTGCTAGGCATGACACAAAAACTTTTCAAAGCATTTGTTTCCCTTGATTCTTCAAAAGCAATCCCCTTCAAATTTTAACATCTTCATCATTCATATCAACCCTTGACAAGGGGATCTTTTTCAACAACTTTTGAGGGTACACAAAGAGAATTACAAATTCTCTTCCTCAAGGACAGTTAAAACAATACTCAAGAGCATCAAACACTGTGGTTGGATCACAATACTCCTCTTCAAACATAATTTGTTCTATGGTCACTCACAGGATTCCGTGAATCTGGTTCCTTTGATCAGAAGGATCTTCCATATACGAGCTCATCTCATAAAGGGTCTTGTGGAGATTCCTTTATGAGTTCTTCTCAAGAGCATGGAGCTCAACCTCTATAATCCCATAAGCCTGACACATGGAGTAGATAAACTGTTGATTGTGTCCTAATCAACCTGCACAAACCAGATGCCTCCTCTTCCATATCAAGAGTAGGTTTCAAAGAAAAAGTATTCATAATATTTTTGTTCAGCACCCAAAACATTTGTTCTTCAACTGGTAGTTGCATATCTGCTGAAGTAATGTTCTAACATCCCATAGAGCATCAGTTCCTACTTCTTGGGACACACCATCCTTGACAGTCTTCAAGGTCAATATGCAATCATTGATCAATTGATTCTCATCAACCTTATTGATAAATGTCTTTATGAGTGGACTTGAGGAAAATCTCAAGTATCTTTGACACTTTTAATACGTTTGAAAACGTCAGCATATATTATGTTGAGGATAACAACCCTAGTATCTTTCTCATACTTTCAGGGTTATATGCAGCGGAATATAACGAACTCCTCAATGATACTCAGACACACCACTATCCAAGTACAAGCATGGCAACCTAGAATTAAAAAATAAACCCTACAAACAGCAGCTTCCCACTAAGCTGCAGGCCTGATGGCAACACCCACGAACAATATCTGTCATATATAACCAATGATCCTTGCCAAAAGATCATCCGTACAATAGTATGAATTGTCCAAGTTCATACCTCTTTTCAGTAAATACTTTCTTCCTTGCTCATGACCAGAAAGTATCTTCCCAGGATCTCACCCAGAACAGAACAGGATGCCTGCTCTGATACCAATTGAAATTCTGGCACAGCAAACTCAGATGTCCTATAAGGATGTCGAGACATCTGATCTGACATACACATACAGGCAAGATAAAACAGTACTGAAAAGATAAAGAACACACCAGAATTGTTTATCCAGTTCAGTGTACAACACCTACTCTGGGGGCTACCAAGCCAGGAATGAAGTCCACTATCAGTAGTATCAATTTGCAGACCCTACAGCCAACACACCCATTGACGATCTACGCACTTAATCACTACCCAATGACCCTTCTACCTAGGTCCTCCCTAGATATGGAATATCCTCATCCCACTTCCAATCATCACAATGATGTATCAACACCTCAGTCACTGCATAGAAGGCCCTTCACCCATATTCTGATTACATAGATGAACAGTTTGGAAGACATACTTTCATGACAACCTAGCTAAGTCTCTAAGCCAAACTCCACTGTTTGTTAACTTTGCTCCTAACATATCCTGGAGTTGCTTCAAAGCTTCCTCCAGGAACAATGCATCTCTTACCTACAGGCTTCGAGATGAACATGGTAACCTTTCCACAACCCGGGAGGTTTACCTTGACAAACCCTAGACTTCTACATCTTGAGCCGTCTTTTTTCTAGGTTACTAACCCTTCTATTTATAACCTGTTACCCAACTGGTTTTGGGCCTTCAATCACAGCAAATCAGTTGTAACAAACTGCAGAAACTTTTGCCCTAAGAAAGATCTTCAATCTTTACTTTCCTAAATAATCTCCTTATTTAGAAAGTCTTCATTCTCCTTAATTTCTGATTGAATTTTCTGGACCTTTAAATATGCGCCACATAGGATGCATAATATTCTCCTGAATATTCTGCCAATATTGAGAACAAACTGAATCTCATTAATCCAGTTCAGCAGGCGGGATGTCAAGATATCTTCTTCGACATGTTGTTCCAGTTGTTGAAAAAGTTCAACACAACATGTTCTGACATTGTAATAAGACTTCTTGTTGTACTTGTTCTTCTTAGCAAGTTTATACATCCTATTCTACATTACATTATTGCTGCTATTATTTGTTTTACAAAAATTAAGCCAATCCTAAAACAAGAGAACTAACAAAAATAAAATAATATTTGAATTTGATACTACATGGTTAGATTCAAATATTTATCTTTTATTTCAAGCACCCTCAATTAAGAAAGAGTTTTACTGAAGTATTAACATTTCAATTACATTTTGTCGACCATGAAACCAATTTACTTGAGACAATTAGTAATTGAGCAATATCAGAGGCGAAAAGAGGTGGACAAGATGTTCATTGGTTGACAAAAACGGCATATGACAGGGCTATCATATCAAGACAGATTTGTACAAAAGCCAGAGAAAAGAAAGGAGTTCCGAATTCCTATATTTGAACTATCAAGGATATGTATGAAGGGACAACGACTAATGTGAGCACGCAAGTTGAGACAAAAGATCTCCCAAAAACTATAGGAATGCACCAACGACTTACGACTATTTTGGAGAAAATGCCATATGTCGCTCTGTTTCAAACATGGGTCAATTAGACAAAACAATAGAAAAATAGAAGATGTAAACTATCTTATTCAAGCAAGGTGGTATAATGAATTTTCCTGTTAAATTTTTTATATACAGGGGAGAAATGAAAACTAAAAAGCAATATATGTTAACAGAATACTGCATAGAAATGGCCAAAACTTGTGTCCCGTTTTTTACAATATTGCAGCAATGCAGCCTAACATCTGGATATCAGAAATTCCTTAATAACTTGCTTTAACAAATTTGTAACAGCCTCTAACTTAAAAATGCCTTTGGGTTGGGGGTTTTGAATTCAATATATGCTCAAGGTAACAAGAAAACGTTTTCACTAACAAAACCTTCTCCGAGTCAAATCCAATATTAACTATATTAAAGCTAAGTAGCATCAGCTAGAATCTCTCTTGAATGATTAGTTTAAGATCCAATAAAATATAAACCAAACAAGTCAAATACTTGAACAATTTAAACTCTACCCAGGAAAGAGTTTTTGCCAATTTATCCTGCACCTGATGGAAGAAAATGAAGGCCCGCAAATTGTATAAAAGAAAAGACTATAACAACTATATCACCTTGATAATCACTAGATGCGCTGGAAGATTCACACCCCAAGCCAATGTACTGGTACAAACCAATACCTGCATTGATATCATACAGCAGATCAGTAAAGGACATGCCATAGAAAATTTTTAAAGATAAACACGTGCCTGAATCTTGTTGTTTGCAAAAAGCTCCTCAACAAAAGATCTGTCTTTGTCATTCAGGCCTGCATGATGTAAACCGATGCCAAATTGCAAAGTATGCCTCAAGTTTTGGTCAGAGACTTGAGACAGGACCATCTGCAGTGCTTCTTCAGGCATATTAAGAAATTGCCTTGAATGCTCATCTGAAGCAGCAAACTTCATTCGCAGAGAAGAAAGATGAATAACAGTACATCACAACGGATCAACTATTATTTCCCAAAAGAGAGTGGGCCTGTACCTGAATTAGGTCTAGTGCAGTAAGTCTTGTTTGACGCCGTGACGAGACAAATATAAGAACTGGTTTTGCAGGTGAATGTGTGCATATTGCAGCATATGCTGGTTTATTCATACTGTTCATTCGGGGGCAGTAATACTTTCCAGGATACCCCTATAAGAAGACCAAGTAGTTAACATATTTGAAAGATATTATTTCATGACTATGACTGACTTGGGGGTTGCTTGGTAGGAGTAAACAATTGAAGGTTAAGATGGAGAGTTATTGTACGTAGAAATGTCTATTCATCCCAAATTTTCATTCCTCCATTCCTCAATCGTATTACTTAAACCAAAAGCCAAACATAAAAACGGTCATGTGACAGAACAATCTATGTGAAACAACAAATCCACTTGCCTGGATATGAACTTCCAAAGGTACGGGCCTCACACTTGGCTTGAAATTAAAGAGTCCAATCTCCTCCACGCCTAACCAATCAGCTAGATCACTACAAATAGATGGGTAAAAATAAGGAGTACATTGATTGAACAAACTCCTACAAATAGGTGGGAGAGACTAGAGAGCGCGGACACAAAAACGTAGATAAATACTAGTGGAGAAGATATGAAAAGAAAAATTAAAACGGTATGATGGATAAAAATATAATAAACTTACCCTGCATTCGCCAGAGCTGTAGAAAGACCTACAAACCGTACTGAACGCTCTGTTTGTGATGAAATATATCTCATCCTAGAAACAATTACCTAGAAACAGAAACACTCAAACAATAGCTATGCAACACAAATAACATATATAATATGATTTGAAAGTTAATAGTAGGAGAAAAAACAATAACCTACTAAAATCCCCTACACACACAAAGAAAAACCTCAATCAAGGATCTATAATTGCATGAAGTACTGTTTTCCAAATATCCCGCATATGGATCATGAGACTCTCCTTCGAGCTAAAGCTTACTAAGCTTTAAACTTGTTATAAAATATACCCTTTAAAAGAGAAGATCAAACCAAACCAACCAATATTAAAACCACAATGAACTCTCACAAACTGCATTCAAACAAAACCTCAACAATATCGTGCCAGTGAATCAACATTGACGATAGTTGAACAACAGGACTACCAAAAAAGAAAAGGAGCTAACTTAAGTGGCACATGTCATTTGTGACTGGTGACAACAATCCAACCTTGACTTTGCTAGACAAAGGGACTACAGAAGACTATTGATAGTGCGTTGAGCCAGTGACCAGCCTTTCATTAGAAACATAATTGAGAAAAGGAAAAAAGCAGAATGTGCCAAGAGTGACTTGGACAAATAGTCAACGAACATCGTGGAAGTGGCTGCTAGTCCTCTCCCATTTATGGTTTTTTTCTTCCTAATTTTTTGTCCAGCCCCAAGAAAGCAGCTTGTATGTTTCTTGTTATCCAAAAATCAACTCTCCTAAAGGTATACATTCTTTAGGTAACAAAACTCATTAATAATCTTATAACAAGCCCATTAATAATCTTATAACAAGCCCAATTTTGGGCTTAAAATGTGGAGTGCAAAAATCCACTCTACTCAGAACTATAATAAACATGAGGCGGAGTCAATAGCATGTCAAAATAGCTCAATCATTTACCTCAAGGATGGGCCCACGATCAGCTCCCAACAAGTGAATCTCATCCAATATGATAAGTCCAACCTATTTATCAGTGCCAACAAAATTTGAATATGAAATTGATAGCTTAAGTATATAAATCATTTCAATATATTATACTACACACCCAAAAACACTCAAACAAGAATGTATTCACCTTTGTGACATAGCTACGAGTATGCCAATTACGACTTATACCATCCCACTTTTCAGGAGTAGATATGATGATATTGGCCGACAAGAGAGCCATCAAATCGGGAGTATAGTCTCCAGTCATTTCAACCTAATAAAAAGCATGTACAATTAGCACCGGTATCATATATAGTGCATGTATACTTTCATAATGCAAAGATTGCTACCATTTTTTTCCCTAGCTGAGATACAAGACGCTTTTTCCAGTCACTCATTCTTTCCCTGACAATAGCCTTCAGAGGTGCTATATAAATAACCTGCATACTCATTCAAAAAAAAGGCTATCATTAATATGAGCAAGGAGAGTAGCTTAAGCTAACACACTTCATAAGATGATATACAATATAGGTAACATAAAAGTCATTTCTCTAAGCAATAACGAATGCATAACAAATATTTTGGTGTATACTCTATCAAGCAGCATAACTTCATTCAAAGAAAATGAATAATCTATCGTATTTATATATCTTATAATTTTGTCATCAGGACTAATGCTCTTTCACAAACTGCAAAAACAAATTTAAGTACAAACCTTCATATCGGGATGAGTATTGAAAAGCCGGAGCATAGCAAGCTCAGCAGATATAGTTTTTCCACTCCCAGTTGGAGCTCCCAATAGAACATTATTGTCTGTGTGATACAAGACATGAAAAGTCTGTCCAAGTAAACAAAACAATATCCATATGATTATTAAGTCTGTAAAACAACAGTGCATAATCCAACATAAAATAATTGTAGAGAAGATGAACCAAACCTGTGTTTGTATGGGGTTAAAATGTGAAAATTTGTATAGCGCTTCATAATCAGTGTTTCCAAGAGACGACACTGGAAGAGGCTTTAAATCGAGAAGTTCTGTATGAGAAGTACTGACCTGGCAAAGATATATACAAGTGTCAAACATAAACTTGGCTGGAGCCAGTTTCCATACAATAGAACTAGAAACCAAAAGAGAAATAAATGGAGATGTTATACCTCTGGCAAGGGTAAATTATGAAAGGTAATAGTATAGAATGCCTCTGCATGAAGCCATGAATCAGAAACAGCATGAATGTAATATTGGGGTGGATGTGGTTCAAATATAGGCACAGTGAAGGTAAGCTTGTAAGGTTCTCCCTTAGCCATCCGCTTTGTCAAGGTAAAGAGTTCTGAGTGGTAAATATGATCATTCTCGGAGTCCTGCTCAAAATAGTTGACCATGCATTCAATTTGGCGTTAGCAATTATCAACTCATACTTAGTTACAAATTAGTTGAGGCGAGGAAACATCACACTTGCAACATATTTTTCAGACAAGCGTTGGACATTTTATAGACAATAATTACCAATGTGAACAATCTAGAAAAAATCAAACAGAAAAAGACTATTGACAACTCAAAATTTTAAAGTAAAATAATATCACTATACTACAAATACTTATAACAAGAACAACTGACACTTGTCCCCTTGGGTAAGGGCTTCTACACAGATGAATCAGTGCTATTGAGACACAATCAACAACAAAAAAATCAGTAAAACCATTATGAACCAGCATTTTGGCTAGATAAAATGAAACATTTGGACATGGAATAAGCATGCTGACAACTTAAAGTTCCACTGTCTCTGAGAAAATTTGTGATGTTAGCCTATTGGCTGGATTAGGCAACTTTGCCCCTATTGTAAGATTGAATTAGGCCCAACCCAAACTCTAAGATGGTATCGAAGACAGTCAGTTACATTGGTTTTTGGTTTCGCTTTACACTCCTAATTTCCAGTGAATGTTGTGTGACCTAGGTCCTTGAACCAATTCTTGATGATTAGTTTTCATTGTTTTGGATGAAGTAAAAGAGGTCAAATTTCTGTAGTATTCTGTAGCATAAGCTAAATTTTGGTGCAGTTGGTTAAAGCGCAATTCTAGTAATAACAGGAAAAGACAAGGTGTCGGCGTCTATTGTCTAAGATGCATTCTCTTTTCAATGGAGTTTCACTAACAGATATGCTGAGGAACTGGGGATTCCTTATCTCAATAAGTTTCCCTTGTGTTATATATATAAGAGAAAACAAAAACTAAAGAACTATAACGCTTGATATAAGAAATTTATTCACCTCTACCAAAATCCACCAGCGTTGTGCAGTACCATGAAAACGATCTTTCCAAATAAAAACTGGAGTTATGACCAGATCAATCTGAAAGCAATGATTGATTATGTAGAAATGGATATCAAGGCTTATATCCTGTGATGAAATCAATGAAAAAATTGGAATCTCAATCTTGAAAAGATTCTTCAATGTGAACTTACCTTCAAGACGGTTCTGGTTATTGGACTCACGGTGGCTGATAATTGAAGTGATGGAAAATACCCTAGGTATTGCTTAACCAACTACGATGAACAGGGATAGGAAAATAATAATCAATATTTCTTCAACATCTAAGCTCATCACCATAGGAAATTTTTAACATTGTCCTACTAAAAGGTACATACCCTTCCTCCAGGTGCATAACGAATTAATGCCCCGATATCTTTTTCCTCCATCTCCATCAGATGATCTAAGTCAGCCCCTCGCTCTTCAAGCTTCCGCAATATCTATGAACCACAAAGGACCATCACACCCCAGTATAAAATGTAGCTAGTAAATATAGTGAACAGAATGGGCATACTTCTGATGAAAGCTCCCTGTCAAATTGCCTAAGAGGATGTTGGTGCGGCCAGACTTGGCGATCTACAGATTTGCAATAATTCAACATGAACAAAGACATCTCACACCAGCCTCTTCGCAGACAAACCTCAAATAAAGCTCGCATAATACGAGCCAAGCTTGCACTTATGTATGAGGCGTCAGAAACCAAGGAGAAAGAATCCATAGAGCCTCGAGATATGTACAACTGCAAACAACAGGTCATATATTATTAAAGCAATTATCCTAAGCGGTAAACAAAGTCAGCAGCTTGAAAACAAAACCTGAATCAGAATGGAAATCTTTCCATGTTTGTTGGAAGGACCGCCCTTAATTTCTAAGGGACATGATGAGCGTGCCAACATCTCTAGCTCATTCTGTTCTTCTTCTCGAACAGCAATATTCTCAAATTCAGATGAATGTGCAATCATGTTAATCACCTAAAGCATCGAAAAGGTAAAAAGAACATGAAAAAACAAATTATAACTATATAAGAATGCTTTCAAACTGTATACAGGTTTTTACCAACATTTACGACAAATTAATTATAAAACATCTAATAAATTGCACGGCATTAGCAATTTTACAGAAAAACCAAGTATATCATAACATTAATACGAACCATCATTTTTAAAGCATAATAGCACCTTTTTAGAGAAAAAGAAATTTTATAAAAGAAAAAAAAAAGTTAAAATTCAGGAAGCAGGCTAGAACATCATTGAAAGCATTACATACAAAAAAGGAGGGAAAAGAAAAGCAAGAAAGGATGCAAAATTTCTCTGTATTGGAGATGACTACTCCTTAGAAGCATAACCATGTCCCAATGAAAATTTAAGGGCAAAGAAAATCCCTTTAAAATGTTATGAGCAATAACATTCTCTGAAACTTAACTTTTAACAGGAATTGTTGTCACTTGTCAATAAATGGCCTATCTATAGTGATTAGGCGTTTATTTTGTAATAACCTGTAGTTGTTGAGATGTTGTCCTGATTTTCTTTTATTTCAATGATGAAGATACCTTATAAACCTCTTTATGATTGTTGCTCTCATTCTTATCCCTATGACTTAAGGATTGTAATCTACTCATTATAAACACAAGGCTAGGGGTTTACTCTCTGAAACTATAGTTGTCAAGCCGTCCTGCCAACCACCACCCTCGAAGTTGAACAGTCGGCACAAGAAACGGAACAGGCCAATTCTAGCTATAGCTGGAGCTCCGCTGTCAATGGAGATCCCAAGCGCTGTCATGCGCGAAAACAAATTCTTTACATTTGTTGAATTTGTGGAATTTTTGGTAAAAGATGAGAAAAAATATACTATTGACAATAATTTAATATTGACTTGATACAAAATACTCGATACTGATCCATATTTATAGATCCATAGAACCAATCCAAACAACAACAATCAATCAAGTCTTACCCCACTAAGTGGGATCGGCTACGTGAATCAAATTACGTCATAATGTTCTATTAAAAACCATGCTTCTATCCAACTCATTAATCATTAATCTCGTGATTTTCCGTGATAGTTTCACTTATGATTTTTCCTGGTCTTTCTCTACCTCTAGAGGTTTGACTACCTTCCATCTAGTACAGCCTTCTTACTACAATGCCCACATGTCTTCTCTCTACATTCACAAACCACCTAAGCCTAGTTTCCACCATCTTTTCTACTTGCGATGCTACCCCATCACTCTCTAATATTGTCATTTCTAATCTTATCTCGCCTGATCTTACCATACTTTCAACAGAACATCCTCATCTATGTTATAATTAGTTTATTTTTGCATTGATTATTTTCAGCCCAACACCATGTCTCGTATAACATCGATGGCCTTACAGTTATCTGATAAAATTTTCCCTTTCAGTTTGAACGGTACTACCGTATCACATAAAACACATGAGGTTCTCCTTCATCTCAACCACCCAGCTTGAATTCTATGGTTTGTGTCTCCCTATTTCTCTATCGTTTTGTTCTATGGACCCAATATATTTAAAACGAGTATTGTGGGAACTATTGTGGATGAAGATTGTACTGCATGACTTGAAGATAAAATATGAAGGTCGATTGAAGCTGCGGCAATAAACCAGCTATTAATATTGTTCATATTCCTGCTCAGCATGACAAGACAAAACACAGTAAAATAGGCCTGCACTTCATCAAAGATAAGTTGGATAGCGGTTTGATAACTACAACTTACATTCCTTTTAGGCATCTACGTGAAGTGTGTTAACAAAGGTCTTACGAACAAAAAGATCCAGCCAACTTACTTGCAAGTTAGAAATGATAAATATTTGTTCACCAGTTTAAGAGGAAGTGTTGTAAATGTATGGACGTATTTGTAGCTATTAGGTATTAAGCATTGTGTAGTCTATATAAGTATACAATAATAAGTATATGACAATTATGTTTCTTCATAAAAAATTAAAAAAAAACAAAGACATACTAGTTTATACTAGTAAATGTACGCTTTACAAAAGTGAAATACATTTTAGAAATATTTTTCTACATAATCAAAACCATGTTGGTAACACATCAAAATTACCTCAGTATCATTCATGTGACGTCTTAACATTTCATTGTATGTTTCAACACTGGAATATTGAATGTAAAAGTGGCTTGCAATGCGACCAAGCTCAGTACAGTAAAAATTGCCACTTTTCTCATCAAAGCGCATCATTTTTGCTTTATCAAGTGAACGTGCAGCATCAATAACAAGAGATCTTTGCTTAGAACTCAAAGCAGGATCTGCCATCACCTAAAACACATAAGATTGTCAATAGAAACCTTTTGAAGCATAAAAACAAATAGCAAAAACTATTTTCAGAATGATGTGAAAGAATCTCACTATTAAAGATCTATGAAATGCAACAAACTAACTACCAGCCATCAATTTTAAATTATCGGTATCTATGGAGGTGTTTGTTTCAAGTTATAAAATTATATTCCTTGGAATTATATTCCTGGCATTATTGTTTCTAGGAATAATATTCCCACTTATGTGTTTGGACAAAAATTAAAGTTCCTAGGAATGTTCACAAATTAATTTAATTTAAAAATTATAAAACTAAAAATAATGAGTAGAAGTGGAAAATTATAGGTAGTTAAGCTTATTCCCATCGAAATCTTGAATTCCCACCCTTTATACCTTGGAATAAGAATAGAAAAATCATGTGTAAATAATATTCCTTGGAATAAAAAGTTCCTTGGAATAATTTTATAAAACTTGAATCAAACATGGGAATATTGCATTTCCATAGTCATATTCCCAGGAATATTTGTTGTAACCTTGAAACAAACACACCCTATATATTATTTTCTTTCAAATGTTAATTATCAACCCTTCCGGAATGTTCAGGAGTCCGATGGCTCTGTAAATCTTCCTTTCTATGGAAGAAAAAAAGAAAAAAAACTCCCACTCTCAAATCAGAGCCTCCTATTTCTATCCATTAGTTTGCATTCAGTTAGCTGTAAGTTAGACTGTCGTTGATAACAGAACTAGGTATTGATCTGCATCACTTGCCCTGAGTTTTCTAACATACACCGTTTTTGGAGAATCACAAACATCAAAATTTACAAAATATTATAGAACTGGTTTAATAAAGGAAAAGTTTGTAGTTAGGTACCTCATCCCAACCAATACCATATGCCAAAGGATTCATCCTCATCCTTATGAAAAGATAAGTATATCCCAGCCACGCACAGGCTTCTTTTACATTAGTTACAGTGCCCAATGCAACCTCTGCATTCAAATTATCTTTCAACGAGCTAATAAACTGCGAAGTATTGAACAAAGATAGTCAACAGAACACCAGATATATTAAGAAAATGTTATGCATGATCCAATGCACAGACAACGGCTGAGAATACACGCATAAACACAGCTGCATCAGAAGTTTCCTAATTATTACCTGGCTTTCAATAGGGAGTTGACTTGTCAATAGTCGCAAATAATATGCTAATTTGTCGTGAGATGTAATTATGATACCCTCACCACTTTTATCAAACTGTGGTCTTCCAGCTCGCCCAAATATCTGTGAAAATATAACAGAAACAGCACCTTAAGTAATGTAGAAAAGTTAAGCACTTCATACTACCTAGTACAGGAAACACAGTGCCTTACCTGCATCACATCAAGCATACCCAGGTCTCGCCACCCACCAGCTTTTGCATCATATATTTGGGTTCCCTAGAGGACAACAGCCTTCAGATCAATTTAGAAATTACAAGACAAAAGTAACTCAAGAATCATAAAAACCTAGTGCACATTATAATTTGATGCAGAATCCCAAGGGAAACCAAAAATCTAAAACTATGATGGGAAGTTAGAGAATATGGTCAGTAGCTACCTTCATAAAGTAGTGTCTTAGAACTAAAAGACCGCTACAGCACTATGATACAGCAGTAGGATTTTGTTTCAAAATCAAGTTCCTAGGGCAGGCAAAGACGTGTTTATGAATCTTATTTTAAAATATGAAAAGTAGTTCCCAGAGTCAGGGGTTGTCTTAAACTCATTTAAAAAGCTACTGCATATTGAAAAGCACCAAAAATATCTCTGATAGGCTAAGTCTCCAAATCCTAATTGCTTAAGACAATAGGAATGTGCATTGAAATGGTCAACTCTCCCATGTCCAAATAGCTTAAGGCACTAGGAGTTTGCACTGAAATGGTTTTAACTAAGTCAGTATCTCACACAAAAACCCTTTGTGCAAAGGGTGGATGAAGAACAAGGTTATCTTGATAAGTGCCACCATTTACAAAAAATAAGAACAGCAACATGTATCAAACTTTTAAACGCCTGCTCAAAAGCTATATTAATGTTAAGAAAAAACTCTCCTAAGACCATAAGGTGTTAGGTGCAGCACAAAAACATGTATCGTTATCTTATCTCTAACAATTTGTACGAGAAACTAAACAATAACACTGCCCACTAATAAGAGAAACAGAGAGGTTGCAACAGATAACAAGTTCAAGGCTGTCTCATTTCAAGTAATTAAATAAGGCCAACAGTAAATAGTGTACAGCTATCATGAAATTCGTGGAATTCAAGTAACCTAGATTTCACCGGCAATAAATAAAAATTTATAAGTGACTTGGGAAAGTTGAAGCAAAAGATTTCTTATCTTTTTTAATCCTATGAATACAATACAGTTTGATGTATTCTACGAACAATTTTTACCTTACAAAATAACTGTAATACGATACATATAAAAACCAATATGATACAAAGCAATATGTAATACAAACCTTAATGACAACTGTGTGAGCAGGTAAATTGACACCCCATGCCAGAGTTGCTGTACAGACGAGTACCTAAAAACACCGTAAGGCATACTTAAATGAAACCAGAGGCAAATTCTGGGTCTAAACAGAAAGCCAGTGAGAAAAGATCTACCTTCAAAAGTCCCTCAGAAAAAAGCCTTTCAGTCAGTCCTCTATCTGATCGTAACATCCCAGCATGATGAATACCCATGCCAAAACCAAAAAGTTCAACGAGATCTTTGTTTTTTGATTTAATGACTTCTTTCTGGAATGCATAAATAGAAAATCTAAGAATCAAGAATAACAGATATCACAATAACATCTAAATAAATGTTTACTCTAACAACCTTCATAAAGAAATACTGTGGATGCGCGTCATTATTGAAGAGTAAAAGTTCGTCACTCCTTTGTGCAAGTTCAGTCTATTGAATGTAACATAAAAATGATGAAACTGAAAGCAAAGCATGGGGCAGAAATAATACAATATGTTCATATAGACTGAAGTATATAATACAATATAATGGTTTCGGCAAGCCTGCAAATCAAGGATTAAGAACTTCAGATTAAACTTCTTAAATGACAAACCAGTTTCTTAGCAGTCTTTGCAGTGTCTTTTCGTGAATGAACAAATACCATCGCCTGATGACCTTGCTTAATAGAATCAACAACCTAAATCAAACAAAAGAACCAAAGCTAGAGAATTAGCCAATAGTGCAAGATATATGATGTTTTGAAGAGAACTTAGATGGAACAATACCTTCCGATAGCATATATCATTCAACAATTCATTACGAGTTGCAAAGTTTGGCTCACTAATTCCAATATACTGTTGTGCAAGAGGCACTGGGCGATAACTTGAATCAAAGAAGAAAAGACCTGTGTCTGGATTAACTCTGAGAAATTGTGCAACCTGGAAATATAAAAGGTCAGGGTTGCAGCTAGGTCCATAAGATACTTCAGCATACAAGCCTTCAGTCAGAAAAGAGGGAAAAACAAATATATATTATTTGGACCAAACACCTCTAGATAATTGGGGAGTGTGGCAGAAAGGCCCACAATGCGTATCATTGACTGGCTTGACTCCACCTGATATTAAAAATAAGGAATTCTTCAATTAGAAGTCTACTATCACATGAAGAAATAAATGGCCATAGTGGCACTGTGGCACCACAACAAACGGTATAGCATCACTGCACAGATTAGCATATCATTTAAATTAAAGGCAACCCATGACCATAATATATCAGATGTTACCAATATAAAAACATTGGCTTACAAGGATCCATTATAAGTCTACACAATATTGTAGAGTCAATACATTTATGTTTCTTTTGCTTGCATTGAAATTAAAATTCTAGCTCATAACCACCAGATAAAAGTGACAGTCTAATCAAAATTCTAGATTCCATTTAGATTTGGGGAAAAAGAAACCGAAATAACATATTCATAGAGTGGCTGATCTGAATTTCTGTTTGTAAGCTCAATTCACTAAGTATAAAAATGTTTCATGCATGCTTTGCACCAAAACTCATAAAAGTTGAAACATACTTGACCAAATGGCTTACCTGCCGCAGTGTCCTAGCAACTAAAGCCTCTATTACAGGACCTCTATCATCATTGAGTAGATGCACTTCATCAATAATTAAGAGCTTCACCAGCATCGAGAGTGACATGTCACTGCTCTTCCGAGTTATGACATCCCATTTCTCAGGAGTTGTCACTATCATCTGATTTAAACCATGGAAGAAAAAAAAAACAAATGAAACTTAGTTTGCATGCTGGCAAAGAATTTCAAAACCAGAAATTTTCATAACAAGAAACCTGAGTTTCTTCTAGTTCATTTTTAGAGAGCTGCATATCTCCAGTAAGCTCTCTGACACTCATATTCAACGGAGATAAACGTTGGCTGAATGTTGATGTGACTTCTGCAGCCAAAGCCTAGAATGGACCAGAACATAAAATTACAAATGAAACATAAATGCAGGGAACAAAATGTAAAGCATGAAACGGAATCAAAATTTTAGATGATATGAAACAATAAATGCAGGAGAAAAAAGGCAAAGCTGAATAGACAAATACAAAGAAGAGCAAAATATGCAACAAGATACCTTCATTGGAGCAACATAAACTATCTTAAATTCATCTTTATGCAAGTAACCATCCCTGAAGTGTTGTCCAATCTGCATACAATTCATCATCAAGAAAAGAGGTTATACTTTATGAAAAGCACACTTTCATTGAGAAAGAAAGAGCACACAAATGAAGGATAATAAACCCTCTTCACATAGCCAATAATAAAATTTAAACAATTGAGAAACAACATGAATACAATAAAGCAGGTTGTTCGATCAAACTCCTAGAGAGGTTTAAAAATAGGTAATGTGCACCTCACATGCTGGCATATCATAGAAGACAACGTGTTGAAAGAAAATGAAGGCAGAGCACAACCTACATATTGACAACATTATTGCATTCCTTAATTTGTGTGCAAAAACCTTAAACGACGGTCATTTTGAAACAGAGGGAGTATTACTCTTTAGATAACATGCCTCTTCAGTTTTATTATTAAAAAATTGTTGAGAGGTCACATTAGATGAAGCATGAGATATTGCCTGACAATGTGATTATAAGTGGTGGGTAGTCCTCACCTTACAAGCCGATTCCAAATTCTAAGATGGAATCATACATAAGCATGAAATGAATTTATTAATGACATCTCTCGCCTTACAAGCTGGTTTTGTTAAGATGAGTTAGGCCGAAATATAAATTTATGAGATGGTATTAGAGTATATACAAGACACATTAGGTCACTCGAGTCACCCTCTATATGTTCAGTCCTAGGCACGAGGGAGATGTTCTGAGAAGTCTCACATTGAATGAGATATGGTCTGACAGTGTGTTTATAAGTGGTGGATAGTCCTTTCCTTAAAAGCTAGTTTTGCAGGGGTTAGGTTAGGCTCAAACCAAGTTCCAAAAAAAATAAAATAATAAAAAACCAAAAACTCTTGAACATTCCCTTAATGCTGAAACTAGAATAGCCACAATTTCCATAGCAGAGTCTTCAAAATCGAAATTGCTAAGATATAGTGTATTATTCCCAGTTTTTAACATTCCCTAAATGCTCCACTTATTTCTTCTTTCATATATCACCACCCTGTTCTTTTTCCTGATGTATATTTTAGTAACTGCAAGAGGTCTAATATGATCCAACAACCTAGATTTCTTGACAATCTTTCAAATAAAAAAGACAGAAAATAAATTGGAAATATAGAATGAGGATAAAATCAACAGGAAAAGGCATAAATAGGCCACTAGGATTTTCACATAACTCCATACTCACCTGCAGAATTGTGACACGTACAATCAAAACTGTTGCATCACGTGTACTTAGCAGTAAAACAACATTGTGATGAATATAACAAAATTAAATTGGAAGTTAAAATTTAAGATAGGTTTAAGATCAAGAAAGTAACAAATACACAAAGCAAATAGCTCCTACAAGCACGCACATTATTTATCTCGTGATATGGATAAAGGGAGAGAAAATTAAAACATTGATTTCAAATTATAGAAATAAATCATATTTTCAGGGAAGAATAAATATTATGCAGGTATTCACCTCATGAAGAATTGAAATCATAGCTATGTTAGTTTTTCCAGCTCCTGTGGGGGCACATACCTGCAAGCATAAGAAAAGCTCGTTTTAACAATAGAAAGCAAACACTTTTTTATCTTTGTCAAATAAAATGCATCTTTGATCATTATTTAACAAAAATAAAAGACAACAAATCACTCACGAGTATATTCTCATTGGTTCCATAAACAGTTTGAAATATCCTGCTCTGAATACGATTCAGCGATTTGTAACCACGGAAAGCGGCTTGAGCAAAGTCATCTAACTCACTGATCTCAATCTGGAAGTGCATAAATGTAGTAGATATGCATCAATAGCGCCACTTTATCACAAACAATTACCAACAAGTACATTTTAGGGAATTGGAGGAATCAGCAGCATCCAATTGGTCAAATATTTAGCTAACATGGATAAAATGCAAAATGTATGCTTTAATTTTTTATTGTAAGATGATAATACGGCATCATTTTCTAATAAACAAGTGTAAGTGCTAGAATATCAAAAAAATACCTGATGAGATAATCTAAAAAATTGTGAGATAGCTAACCTAATATAAAGATATTATAACATACTTTTTAATATTGTAACAAGAAACTAATCCTCCTAATCTAAGCCGCTCTAAGATTACAAACTAATCTTATGAGATAAACCAAGATAGTCTATCATAATATAAAGATATTATAATATGTTTTTTAATAATTCTAACGGACAGGACAACAGCAATACATAAATCAAATCCATTGTGCTCATTTCATATGTTTATGAGGGTAATATACCTACCAAAAAAGTTCACGGTCTTTCATTAAATAGTTGAAAGCATCTCAAAAATCACAATAAAGAAATATACCAGTCTCTCTCCAGGTTTCATTGGCGCAGTTGGTTTTGGGGGAACAATAACTTCTTCATACCCCTTACAATACTTTTTGATAGTTCCTTCAGGAAGAGCATTAACAGCTATTGCCCTATCTCCAGTACCAATCATCCCATCAACCAAATTTTTCCTCTCACTTGCTTGAAGTAAAGATGAGAAATCCAGTGTAGACAAGTCATCACCCCCAGCAAGTTCTATTCCTCGCCTGTTTCGTTTTTCCTCCTTGCGCCGAAGCTTGTCAATTTGTTTGTCAGATTCTGTTTGTACAGTCACCTAAAAAAAGTAGCTCTTTATGAAAGGCAGTTTTTTTTAACATAATACAATAAATGTATGTGTTTCATAATATACAAGTGAAAAAGACGAGATTGATGATAGAGCATAGGCAACACCTGTGTCCCATAACTAGGCATGCGAGACTGAGCATTTGCAGCATTTGTATCAGACTTGAATACTGATAAGCCATAATGAATAGAATCAACAATCTCTTTCCGGTGCTACAATTTGTCACAAAACATCAAGTATGATTCAAACAAATACATAGTAACTCAAGTTTCTTTCACTATCAGATAGTTGACAAACTTCAAAAGCAAAAGTTGACACTTTTTTGAAGCAATCATTACATGGACACGGGCGTAGGAGAGTGAAGTTCACAACGAATTACTGATGACCTTTATAAGAAATAAGAGAGGGAGCTAGCATGTTCTCACCAATAGAAGATTTTGCACAGTTTCAAATGCATTATCCCCAACAAGATCCAACAAATCTCCAGCTATCTTCAAAGAGAAGGAATAAGTGTAAGTCCCATGTTGGGAAACCTTCGTTATATATACTTGAAAAGAATTATTACATCGAGCAATACCTCTTCACCAGGCTTTTCTGAATTAAGAACCCTACAAATGGCCATTGCCAGTTCATCTCGAGATACCTGTGAATTACAATTCCTAACAATTTTATCACATGCATCTCTTAACCAAGTCAAACTGAACTTTTCTACTTCGGCAACAAAATGATTTGTTGGGTCAGTATGACTGTACTCTTCTTTCTGAAATGCTAGAGAAACTGTGTTTTTGAAATCCGCTATGTCTCCATCATCTAAGGATACATCAACCAAGAAACGAGTTGGGGGTTGAAAAACCAAATCGTCTCCAAATTCCATACCCTCATCAACATTGTGATGTCTTTCCAAAGAAACAGAAGAATTTGTATTGTTAGGTTGCAAAATTAAGAGTTTTTGTGCTAGAGATGCAACTTCTCTCAACTTGGTATCAGCAATTGCATGACCGACAAGGTTTTCCAATTCTAACCTGCACAACAATGTTGCGAACTGAAAGTTTAGTCTTTGAGCAAATGCTCTAATCTCTTCAACATTCAAGACTTACGTAACAGTCAATCAAATACGTAAGCCTTATTATGGCATCTGCATTTTGTAATATGAACCGAGCAACAGAAACTTAGAGAATTTCTATAGCATTGTATTAAAGTCTTCTAAATGGCATTTGAAAAGGCTCGTAAAATTCCATAATATTCCAAAAGTCATGTGAAACTGAACAATAACTCTGTGCCTTTATATTAAAGTAACAATTCAATCACTTCACGTTGGTATCTACAGTCAAATAAAAACTTCAAAAGCCAAAACTTACTTTTTATCATAAATAATTCTATTAATAGAGCCCTCCTCTTCAATTGGTCTGCTAAACAGACGGTACACAGTCAGCGCCACCTCATGGAAATCCTCAGAGCGCATTTCTCCATCAACCAAGCCCACTACTGCTCCTATAAACTCTTTGTAAGCTTTCCGCACTTCCGATGAAGCTGCTTCACCAATACATCAAATGCAAACATGTCATTGTTAACTACATCCTTTTTTTTGTATCATTTGAAGAGAAAAAAATAGCTTATTGATCATAAAACACGAACTATACCTTCTTCCCAACCATATACAATCTTACGTGCGAGTTCAGATTCATCAAGTGAGCTTGCAACACTAAATGCCACCGTTCAAAATCAAAATATATCATCAATAAATTGCACAAAGAAATTTGAAGCATTCTAATCATTGAAAACAAAATCCAAAAGCAAAAACTAGTAGCATCTCAAAATCCAAAAACAAAGAAACTAGAAAAATGCCATAATAGAAAATCCAAAAAAAAAAAGGACAAATTGCACAAAGAAACTCTAAGCATTCTAATCACATAAAAAAACCTAAAAAACAAAATCAGCAGCGTCTCAAAGTACAAAAACAAAGAAACTCAAACAAGGTTTTAAATAACGGTCGCGTAAAGGCTTTCGCGGTTTCGGTCAGTACAAGTGTTGTGATACTGATTTCAGTCGCCGCAATGTGAATTAACCACAATTTTTTTCATCATAAAAACGGTGAATAATGGTACCGATTTCGGTACCTTCCGATACCGTTTTGTCGCATCCATTTTCGCGGTAACGGACCGTTTTTTAGAACCTTGCTTATAAATGCCATGGCACAGTATAAAATCAAGAAAATATTATCAATAAATCAATCTAATCATAGAAAGCTAAAAGCAAAAGTTAGTAACACCTCAAAAATCCAAAAACTAATAAACCCGATAAATGCCACAACACAAAATACAATAAATTGCACAAAGAAGATCAAAGCATTCTAATTACAATAAAACCAGTAGCATCTCAAAGCCAAAAAACAATAAAACTCATAAATCTACAGTGCACCGCAAAATCCAAAAAAAAAAAATCAATAAATTGCACAGAAACTCAAAGCACTCTAATCACGGAAAACAAAACTATAAAGCAAAAAAAAATAAAAAATAGTAGCATCTCAAATTCCAAAACCTAAGAAGTTCTACAAATGTCACAGTCCAATACAAAATCCAAAAACAAAATCAATAAACTGCACAAAGAAACTCAAAGCATTCAAATAACTGAAAACAAAATCAAAATCCAGTAGCATCTCAAATTGTGCAGAAACTCAAAGCAGTCTAATCACAGAAAACAAAACTAAAAAGCAATAAATAGTAGCATCTCAAATTCCAAAACCTAAGAAATTCTACAAAATGTCACAGTGCAAAATCCAAAAACAAAACCAATAAATTGCACAAAGAAACTCCATTCTATTCAAACAACACAATCAAAATCAAAATCAAAATCCAGTAGCATCTCAAATTCTATTCTCGTTTATTTTTGTTTCCGCTAAGAATTTTCTCTAAGCAACGATAAAAAAAAAAAAGCACAATTGAGAATGATGAGTTAGGGTTTAACTACTTGTGAGGCTTTCGATTTTGAAGAAGAGCTTTGCGATGAAGATAAGCTCGGTCGATATCAAACGGGTCTCTGAGAGAATTTGTAAGGCGGGGAATCTGAATCAACATTGTGGAATTGAATAGAGTAATGATTCTGAGTATCGTTGAAGCTTAAGGCAGTTACTCCCTTAAGCGTTGGCGTCCATATCGTTCGGGTTTAGCGTCTGGGTTTATTTCTTGCTCTCCACGAGATACAAATAGAAAGAAAAGAAAAAAGATTTCAATATATTTTTTCTTCTAAAGTAAGAACGTTTCCTAGAGCAAGAAAATATTTCCAATGTTTATTTTTTTATCAATAAATTTATAAAAATAATTAGTTATTTTTTTTATTCTTTTTATCAAAATATTTATAAAAAATAAATTGTTATTTTTCGAAAAAATTTCATAGTAAACATATTTTTCAATTTAATTACGCAAATATTTTGTATCACAAAAAAAGTTCTTAAATAATCATTTGGGATTGCAATTAAGTAATCAAGTGTGGGTGTCATCTCACATATTGTTTGTGTAAAATTTAGGTGTGCATGTCATATGAGATAGCGCATATGTGTAATGATATTAGAATATGTCATCTCATATGACGTCTACATATACATGCTATTTTTTTGTCTTTTTAAATAATATTAAAAATTAACAAAAAAAGGATATTACTATTAAAAAAAATATTCCATTTAGGGAATAAGAAATACATATATTTTAATATTTTAGATCACTGTAACGACCATCGATTTTGTATTGCGTCGCTCTTCTAACTCGTTGACCCACAACCTTTTAAGTTTCTTGTTGTGTCCGGATCGATGGCGCTCCCCTAACTCGTTGACCTGCAACCTTTTGAGGTTCTTGTTGTGTTTGGGTCGATAGCCCTTGTAATACCTCAATATGTTCAGGGTTCATGTAATCCGTCAGGTCAGCAAATTGTCTCGAATATCACTGTCAAAAAATCGGTTACCCATGTCGTCAAAGCTATGTCGTGGTGGGGGTGGGGGTGAACAAAGGTTGGTCGGCAGTACTGGCCAGTTAAATCGGGTTGGAAAAAATGCAATGTTTATCGTGGTGTGTTGAAGCCATATGGTTGTTTGGACCTACGATGATGTGATGTTTGCGGGATGAGTGGTTCATTTAGGTTAAATTCATCAGCTTCGCCCAAGTCAAGACCAGGTTGAGATCTGGATGGGGCCCGCTTTAGGGTGTTGGTTGTACTGTCTTTTTTCTTGGTATTGTGTTTGAGTGTGTGGTTGGTGTTGCTCTTGGTATTGGAATTGGTCTTGGTATTGGGTTTCGGTGCTAGCGGGTTGTTATGGTTGTTGGGTTGGTTGTTGGTTATAGGTGTGTTGGTTTGGGTCGATTAAATAGTACGGGTCTGACACAAACGGCTCAGGCATGGTAACCGATCTATACCAAATCATATATTGGTGAGTTGGTTTTATTTTGTATGGCGCGACTGGGTATTATAAGACATGTTGGGGACGCCTCTTCCACACCTGACCCCATTCTTGAGTAAAGTACTTCCAGCTTCTAACATGTCATTTATGGTTGACTCTACGAAGATGCCATTGTGGTTATCACCCATAGTTAGAAGAGACATGTTTGAATAATTGGAGAGTTGTGTGAAGATGAAAATCAGATGGTTTGTATGTTGGTGATGCAAATTTAAGTGAAATTGAAGGGTATGTTATAGTTTGTATGTTTTGTAGTCATGAATATTATGGGTATGACTATATAGAGTTTTACATTACCCTCCAACAACCTCAACTATCATAGATAATTGAGTCACAAGTTCTTGATATTATTGTTGACGAACAAGTCGAGGTCGACGTCATTGACGAAGAAGGAGAACAACCAGAGTTGGAAGTTAATCACATGGTGAACAATGATTCTTAAGACGACGAAAAAGGTACATTATCTCCAGCTCATGTGTACACACCGCCTGCACACATGACAAACTTGAACTTGGACGGTGATCAGCCTTCATCAGATATTTTCAAACAACTCGTACATGTAGTCCAATGAACAGTTAAAAGTGGGAGACAAATTTTGTTCAAAAGAAGATTGCGTGCAAGCTATAAAAAAGTTTAGGCTGGAGAGGTAGATCGCACAAATGTGGAGAGGTACAAAATTCTGTGTACAAATGTGGAGTGTATGTTTAGGCTGGCAGCGTCATATAGAAAGAGGGTTAATTCTTAATTCTTGGGTTATATGTTCTATTTCTCAATACCACACTTGTGTTACCACCAATTTGTCCCAAGATTATCCTAAACTAAGTTATGATCTTATATGCCAAGAAATCTTACTTATGGTAACTGTGATACGGTGGGAGAACTGACTTGAGTTTTGCGTTTGTTTTCGCACTTGTTCAGTTTAGCAAGAGTCACCATCGACTTTTTATTTTATCCTAAAGGAAAGGTTAAAAAGCACAGGAAAAACCTTTTTGAGATATTCCGTGGGTTCGGGGGGTAGATTATGAAAAGGGAAGGTATTAGCACCCTTTTCATCAATGGTTATCCATGGGCTCTTAGTTACTTGGTTTTAGATCACTTGCCTTGATTTTCGATTGCTTGAAATTGTGGTGTGTGTGTGTTTTGAAAATGTTTTTGAAATAGACGCATTTGTTTCGGCAACCAATGTAATTGACTCGTGTTTGAGTGTTTTACAAAAGTGTGTATCTTTTCGAAAAGATGTTTCAAAATGTTTTTGGAAGTTTGTTTGAAAGTGTGTATGAAGTGTGATTTTTGAAAAGGAGGCAAGTGTTTTTGCAAGTTGATTTCAAGTAACTAAGAGTTTGGTGTACCCCTATTGTACTCAAAGGTTTTCTCTATGTTTTCAACCCTTTTTAACAATTTTGTTCCACCATTAAATTTGGTGGACAATCTTGCGTTTAGGATGTTTAACAGGACGGGCGTGGGTCATCGTATGGACCATGAATGCAATGGTGCCAAGTGTCTTTGGCAATTTGCTTGAAGGGACTTGATCATTTTGATAGGCGACTTTCGAAAGCGTCATCGAGGGACTTATGATCATTTTGAATTGCTTTGCCAATGAAACTCGACGTGCAAGCATGGCCCATTTTGGAAGGCAACATGTGGGATTACCCTAGGGGGTGCAAGTGTGATTGTGTATTGATTTCATGTATTTGTCTTGTATTAGGTTATCTAGCGTTTGATTGTATGTACATGTAAACCCTAGGTCTAACCATGGTATAATTCGAAAGCGGTAAATTGCGGGAATTTAAAGTCCTAAACTATTACAAATGAGTATCCGGGAGTGGGGGTACAAATGTACAAATGGGGATGAGACTTTAGGAATGTAGTGTCCAATAATTTACAACCAAATCGAATCGCGATCAAATGTAAACAATGTAACGTATAGCAATGTATAAAAATAGCAATTGTATAATGTATCAATGTAAGTGTATTGTGTAAATGTAAGTGTACGTGTATGAGAATTATTTACAAGTTGTAAAATGTGAATTTAATAAGAAAAATAAATATTGTTTATTTATCAAGTATTATTATCCACTTTTGATTTAAATTTGTATTTTTATATTTTTGTTTAATATGTACAAAAAAAGGTATTTTAATTAAAAGAAAGAAAAATGTTTTAAATTTTAATTATATGTATTTTTTAGTGTTAATGTACAAAGATAACATCTTGGAAAAAGAAAAGTATTTATCTTAAAGGAAAAACTATGTAATTATGTATTTATGTACAAAAATTAATGTTTTAATAAAATACACAAAAAAAGGTTTTAAGTTTTATATATTAATGTAAAAAAAATTAAATTATGTGCAAAGGGAGATGGGCTAAGGGGAATAAACGGCCCAATCAGAATGGATATGAGGGGGTGCCAATGAGAACACGTTTGGGCTTAGTCTGGTTGAAACGGGCAAGGCCCAAATGGATTCTCTCAATGTTTTCTTAGGGTTTGAGAATTGTTTCAGAAAGGGAAATGGCTTAGGGTTTACAGAAGCGGCGCTGTTTGCATTCGATTTGTCTTTCTCATTCGCCTTCGCCTGAGTTTCCTTCGCCCAAGCCACCAGCGCAACCACCCTTCCTCTTCCCTCCATGGAGCATCCAGGCAACAGTTTAAAAAGGTAGATTTCCCGTTTCAATCTTGTTTAGGGTTTTCGTTATTGTTTTGCATGCTTATTTTTTATCGTGTTCTGATCTTGAGCATTCATTATTGTTTATTAATGAGGTCGCGGAAAGGGATGAAAAGAAGTTGTGTTACCTTTTGGGAGACGGAGGAGGAAGGAGATTGGAGACGTTTGGAGGCTTGCCGGCGGGGAGGTGACGATGCTGATGAAGCTTTGCTTCCTGGTACTCTGTATTCTTTTTTTTGTTTCGTGATGAGCTTCTGAAAACAAATCTTTATCCTCTTCACTTTTGCTCGTTTCTGTTGCCTTGTATGCTTCTGTATGTTTAGTTACCTTGATGATTTTTGATGATGAACCCCTTTTTGGTTCTGAGAACCTCGCTTGAACTGGATCCTGTTTCACTTCTTTTCCTCTTCCCCTATAGGCTTACTGAGATTATTTTGGTATGTTAGACCCTGTGATGAACACAGTTCTGAGGATGTTGGCTATTTGGTTGATTCTGGGATGGTTCAGATTGATGGTAGGTATGCTTAAGCTTCTAGTCCATGGTTTGACAGTTCAAGTTTGAATGGTTTGACTTGTTTATGCTAGTTTTGAGCTTGACAGTTCTGAGGGACTGGTTTGTGTCTTTAGGCCATTGCAGGTTCAGAACCAAGGCTTTTGCGTTATATGCTTCAAGCAGGTTGAGGTTTAAGTGTGGATAGGCAGGTTTAATGCAGGTTTGGACATTGGTTTTGGCTTCTGGTTCATGGCCATGTGTTTGAGGTTTGTTCAATGCAGGATGGGTTGACAGCTTTGTGTTTTTTGTTAAGGCTTGTGAGGCTGGACAGTTTTGTGTGCCTTTGGTCTTTTGCACAGGGTTGGCCTTTTTGTGAACAGGTTATATGCTTGAGTAGTTAAGCTTGAGGCTAAAATCTTGAGGCTTTGGCTTGTTCTGAGTTATCTTTTGTTTGTGATTTCTGCCTCTCCTTTTAC